GTTGCTGACGTAGTCTCAGTAATTGCCCAGTGATCAAGTATCTATCGATGGAGGCATCTTAATTTCTGGCTGGGCTCTGCAATGACAGGATCCACTGATATAAATGTGTTCAGAAATAAAATATGGGTGGGAATACTATTTGTTCAGAAGAAAAGTTCTCTGCTGATCCTTACTCACCCTCTCCAACAAACAGAGAATTTCTTCAATCTATGTGGGTAGAGCTCTTGTGATTCCAAAACTCCTCAGTCTCATATGCAGCCCTGCATGTGGTGTTTTCTCAGACGCCTTTCTAGAAATCTTGAAGAGAATGTTCACCGATATCCAGCTATCCCTGTAACAACAGAAGACAAGGGCCAGGCAACACATCGTTTATTTTGGAAATCAACACATATTTATAGTTTTTCATGTACATTATTATAGATTATTGTTAGCAGACAAACACAGTCTTCTGATTGGTCGTTTCTCACTAAAAGTTAATCTTTCATCTCTTTGTGGCTGTCTCTTGAATGTCAGATCATCTATCCGCTAATTGTATCCGCCTACGCAAAGTCTTTGTTCTCATTTTTCTCACGGCCGATATTGGGGACATAAACATTGATATAAATTACTGTCAGCTCTCACTACAATGTTATCTTCAGACTATCCATCTCACAAGGAGCATCACTGCTTGATTGTTGGGATTAAGTGGTAAACTTGATCCACAGGGAGATATTACGTCATTACCCTCCAAACTACAGAGAGACTACCCACGTCAGCAACTCACTTCAGTGCTTAAAACAATATTGGATATAACTATCATGGTTCACTTAGAAAATTACAGCGTTCTATTAAATATACAGCATAGTTAACGGGGTGATCTCCATTACCTGGCAAATTTCACATGAAGAGAAGGCTGAGTCAATCATAGGGGCGTGGTGAGAGCTGTCTACTAGCCAGATTGGTAGACAGTAATTTACATCAATGTTTATGTCCCCAATATCGGCCGTGAGAAAAATGAGAACAAAGACTTTGCGTAGGCGGATACAATTAGCGTATAGATGATCTGACATTCATCGTGGGTCAGACACAATATCGATTTAAACTCATGCCGTTTGGGCTAGCAGGTGCACGGTTAACGTTCAGACGACTGATGACACTATTACTTAAGGACTTGAAAAACGTTGAGGTGTACGGTGATGGTCTCGTCATATATAGTCAAAACGAAAACGATCATGTGAACCATGTGGAAGCCGTGCTGCGACGCATCGAAGAGTTTGGACTGCGCGTCAACAAAACCAAGTCTCACATAGCCGAAAAGAATGTAACTCTTTTGGGACATAAAGTGGGAAATGGTGAGATTAAACCACTACCGGAGAAATCTTGACGATAAAGACGATCCCAGCCCCGAATTGAAAGAGAAAATTGAGACAATTCTTAGGTAGAGCAGCGTTTTATAGTCGCTTCGTGAAGAACTTCAATGAGATAGCAGCCTCTCTGTACAGGCTACTAGGTGAACCGAATTTTGATTGGTCGCAGAAGACATTCAACAGGATTAAACAGCTGCTCGACCACCAACAAATGACACTAAAGCTACATGTACCTGGAAGACAGTTCACAGTGTGCACAGATGCCAGTGACTACGCCATAGGTGCGGTCCTAAGACAGGGTGAGGGAATCGTTGAGTATGACAGTCGGGTTTTGACACACACAGAGCGAAAGTATTCAACGATAGAGAAAAAATGTTTAGCGATGGTATGGGCAATCGACAAATGGAGACCTTATTTACTCGGCCGGCGTTTCCACATCGAAACGGATCATAAGCCGCTACAGTTTCTGAAGACAGCGAGAGACCCACGAGGGAAATTGTCACGGTGGATGTTGCGTCTTCAGGAGTACGATTTTACGATCTCACACGTTCCCGGAAATGAAAATGTCTTGGCAGATCTGTTATCGAGACCCGAAGACAAATATGAATTGCCAGAGGTCGCTTACGGAGTGCATGCAGTAGAACAAGACCCACTAAGACTCACACGCAGGCAGAAGTTGGACGATACGCTGAATACAGAAATACAGGTGGTCGCCAACGGAATAGAAGTGGATCCAGCTACAGCGAGTAAGGAGCTAACCACGCTACTCAGACAGAGAGATCGACTAAGAGTGAAGGCCTACGGGACTCTAATCTGGTGAGAGAACGACGGAAGCTGGCTGGCCGTCATACCTCAATCGTTGTGCCACGACATGATAGAAGAATGTCACCAGCTAGCACATGCAGGGGGGCCAGAACAGCCGACCTCCTACGACAAAGGATGTACTGGCCAGGTATGAGAGAAGACGTCGAGAAGTACGTAACACCGTGTACGCAATGTCAGCTCATGAAAGGTGATTAGTACATGCGGCCATCACTGCAGTCGACTCCAGTGACAGCACTAGGCGACCTGTGGTCAGTAGATGTAATAGGACCTTTTCCACAAATGTTTAATGGCAATCAATATCTTCTAGTCATGACAGAACATGCCACACGATGGCTAAACGCAGTCGCGCCCCCTGATCAATGCGCAAAAACGGTCACAGAAGCAGTGGTTTGACATATCGTTGCAAACCACGGTGTGCCCAAAGCGATACTGACAGACCAAGGTCCGTGTTTTGAAAGCGAAGAGTTTAAAGTTTGGTTGCAAGAGTTAGGTATCAAGAAAATTAGGACAACGCCATTCCATCCACAAACGAACGGGCTGACGGAGAAAGAGATGCTGGGCACAATGGGCAGTAACTGGGAGACAGGGCTTCCACTGATTCCGCTAGCATATCGTGCGTCCGCGCACGAAACGACGAAGGATGCACCGTTTCAGTTGATGTATGGGGGGAAACCACGACTACCGATACGTAACAAGACCTGGCCCCTCCATCAGCATTGGAGTATGACGAGATGGCGGACGGAGCGAAAAGAAGCCATCAACAACGTAAAACGAAAGCAGAAAGTGGACGCTGTGAACGCCGAAAAGAGGGTATAAGGGGAGGACCTCGCATTCAAATCGGAGATCAAGTCAAATGTAGAGATAGGTGAAACACCGGTGGATACATGCCAGGGGCGCGAAAACTGCTACCAAAGTGGGAAGGACCATACATGGTCACCGCGAGACGGGGTCACGTGTATACCATCAAAATGCAAACAGAGAGAAGCGGGTGAACATCAGCGAACTCCAGAAAAGGATGGAGCTAGAATAGCCAACGATAAAGCCGACTACAGTCCAAGCTATTTGACGGGGGAACGAGTGTGGTAAGAGCTGTCTACTAGCCAGATTGGTAGACAATAATTTACATCAATGTTTATGTCCCCAATATCGGCCGTGAGAAAAATGAGAACAAAGACTTTGCGTAGGCGGATACAATTAGCGGATAGATGATCTGACATTCAAGAGACAGCCACAAAGAGATGAAAGATTAACTTTTAGTGAGAAACGACCAATCAGAAGACTGTGTTTGTCTGCTAACAATAATCTATAATAATGTACATGAAAAGCCATTTTTGGTAGCATGCACTTGAAATTTCACCTATGACTAACCAATTAATGAAATTGCTCTGTTCCATGCTATGTAGCTCACAGAATGGTTCTTTTATTCACACCTACTTAGACGCCAAATCTTTCTGTTTTACCCTAAGATGCACTCTTTTGACCCCTAGTAGTAGCCAGTACGGTATAGGATTAAACTATATCTTTTAGCTTCCATAGGGGCCTCTAAGGCGACTTTCAGTACTTAGATAAGGCCACGGAGGTAACAGCACTTGTATCAGCATTTCAAACACCTAGTCTGGTACACTTCACCGACTGTAAACGTAAATGCATCCAAAGGGTAATCACTTTTTTAGGCGTCGGAAATGGTACATGACGTTTGTATAATAACAATGGAAGAAAACAGTGTCAAAGTTTGAGGAAGTGTACGGGGATTCATGTAGTATTCGTCCGATGATATTTTGGAACAGAGCCAATATATGAAAATCTATCAAGCTTATAATCGAAGGAACTGTTTAATAACGTCATCACAGAGTATGTTTTGAGACCGCCGACTATGAGATATTGACATCCATGAGCCTAATTTCCTGGTGCGAAGTCACTGTTGCGGTTACTTGAACCACTTGTCCTCTTAACTTCAGTTTACAGTGCAAATGTTAGCGAAACCCACATTCGTGTGCAAGCACCATGATATGTTGTATACCTAGGTTTTACCGCTTTTTTGTGCAATCACGTTTTGTGAAGTATTCTCACTGCCACTCATTCCAGATGCTAGTCATGATTCCACATCCGGTTTCTTGAAGTCAGGCTGACACCAGTGCTCACTTAATTTCTGTAGCACACTCTAGGTATTCGTATGAAATACTGTCAGCTTGGTCTGATTACCCTATGCTCAAGCGCCAGGGGTCTTACCATCAACAAGCCTAGCACTATTAAGATCCTGAAGCCCCCAATAACAAGATATCTCTCATCACTGAGGCGCCTCTCATTTAATTTAGTTCAGCAGAAACTCATTCTCTGCGGTTTACTAGGCATAGATCTGTGAGGATATGGATATCCTATCTATTAAGGATACAAATGTCCCTCAGATTTATTTTCATCTCAGTCCTAGAATTTACAGTGATTTATTGCACAGTCAACCTTTTCGCTGATTATGTACAGACTACTTCCTCAGACAGGAACTTGTCTACAATAAGCTGGTGGAACATGTATTAGAGACTGATTTACTCGTCTTCCTGACGAAGAAATAAGGTTCACTGTGGTTCGCACTTATGATTTAAGGCATCTCCTTCTTATCTTATGTAAAACGAGAGATATTAATTTCTTGGATCACGTATACCGACATCTCGCGACTCATTTGCCTTCTGTTGCCTAGATGACTTCAGTGGTGACTGCTTTTCATCCTATTGACGTTTTTTATCCAAAACCAATAGGGAATGGTGCAACTAAGAGGCCTTTTTTTCTCAATTTAATCCGAATATGTAAGTGATATTTGAATTTCCGGCTCTGACGCGCGTAATAAGGAAGTTGCGTTACCGCCACCAGTGGTTCAGTTAGATTGTAAGTGTATTATCCGTATAATTGCTGCTGGACGATTTTATCATTTGACACTGAATGTTTGGCATTCCTGTACCATGTACTTTGGTAGCATCATACTTTAATACCACGTAGTTTAGAGTTCACATTGAAGGCAAGCGCTAGCATTAATGTTATACTTCGAAATTCACTATTCGTATGAACTCTCTCGAATAATGTATTTCGAGTGCTAAAATTTTAATAGCAGCTAAGTTAAAATTCAAGCACTGAAGGAATGAAGTACACTAATCTCTTGGGAAAGGCGATTTTGAAGTATAAGTTAAATGTATTTATGAATAAAATGACATAAAACTGTTACACGGGGTATCATTCTTTCATGTGTGACAAAAATGCTTTTCGATTTGGGATTAAACCGATTGCTCCATCATTAGAACAATTAAAACATATTCTGTACATATATTTGTCTGTCTTCTAACCCTGACTCTGAACTCCATAAACTGGCTCTAATCCAACTCGAACCAACACTGACGTTCCTCATATTAGATTGGCTTAACCCTAACTTATCGTTTGTGTAAAATTTAATTCAATCTCTCCCAAACCTAACCTAAAACTCAGTAGATATCACTTAATATCATAACATTTCATTCAGTATATTTTATTCATGATTTCTGTGTTATACACCAAGTCTCACTAACTCGCCCATTAAGCGTCACAAGATCGTTGGTGAGATGGCATTCTTTCGATGCTTAATGTTCAACTTGGCTTAAATAGTCTTTGTAGGGCTTAAAAACAAGTGAAACTGCGTGATATGGCTTAATCTGTATTGTTTTCATCATCTTCGTGATCACCAGAATAAAATTATCCTGTTCAATATTAGCTGTTGATTGTGGATATTTAAGATTGAAATTGCAGTAAACTAATAGTCAGTCCACAGTACTACTTGCCACATTTGAGCTGCTTTATAATGTCAACGATGCTTTGATGAAAACTGTCTGTACAGATTGTATTCTGTGTTTAAAAAAATGTCATAATATTTTCCTGGTAATACATCGGTGGAGTAATTTCTAACTTTCTAGATATTTTTACTGTTTATGTTTTTTAGGTGAATCAAACTTATCAGAAGCTAAAAGAAATGAACCGTGGGTTATCTGATCCTAACGCCAAGTAATTCTTTCTCTATTGAAACCAAAAGCTTGTTTAGAAATCACTTACAAGCAAAAGATTTAGTCCTGTGTAATGAAATCTCTACATCACTAGGTGAATTTAAGTACGTTATTAGCTTTGAAAGTTATTCAAAACAAACTTCAACAGAAAGTATTTAGCTGAACAAAAAAAGCATCGAGAGGAGTTGTCTGCTTTATCCTATGATCATTTAATTAATTTACGTGATGAATTGAAGAGCTTGCATCAATTAGTGTCTTCATCAATATCTGGTCTACGTCACACAGCTACAGCTATCTCACGCTTGAAAACAGATGTGTTAAAAGTATGTAGAATAATAATTTGTCATATAAATGACTTTTTTCAAAGGAAGAGAAAAATGCTGAAATAGCGCATAAAACATCTGATCATGGATTAAGTGGCAAAGGGGATAGTAGTGAAATATCAAGGTAAGTCAAATTGAATTTATGATTAGGGACTTTTAGTTATTTTATGAAAAAAATCTCTGATTTCGATACAAGAATTCGTCTATATAAAAAAGAATTAGAAGTATTTGAAGAGAATGTTTATTCACAACAGTTAAATCCATTGACTCCACGAGGTAAAATATATAAAAATTCCTAATCTATGTATCTAAGATCTTCTCAATGTCCTACAACGAATGGATCATGATTTTGTTGGCCTGGCAGCTCAGTTATATACTGTTTATGAGAATATGAAAGTATGTTTAAAGTGTCTATTATTGTTCCTGATGTTGTGTTCTTGCTATGGATTGTATTTCTATTGATTATTTAGGATCTGGCAGAACTTTGCAAAACTAGATTTTATACTTGTTACTGATCAGAAGAACTAAACTACATTGAGAGGAGCCTGTTTTGTATCAGAGGTGGTTACTTGTTTGAGTTAGAAGTGGACTCGGAAAAACTAATAGGGTCAACAATACATATAATACGTCGAGTAGTCCTATTGCAAAGACTATGTTGAATAGTACCACTTGCACCTAGGCAACTAAGAATTTATAACCATTTATCATTTTCAAATATTTTTAAGATTTTGGACGAGTCTCTTGGTATGACTTAATTTTAAATTCATCCATAGAGTTTTTAGCATATGTAAAGAACAGAAACATTTCAACAAAAACTCAAATTAGTTATGCTTCCCTTCACTATAGGTTAGATTCTCTCAAAATTTTGAGTTTTATTCATTTTATCGATCGAGATAACTAGGACACATGTTATGCATGGTGAGTCATCGCCTTCCTTGTCTAGCAATGCTAGCTGGCGTGGGGTTAGTTTGGAAAGAACTTATGGGTAGTGAATCAAAGCGTGGTATGAATCCATGAAGTTTAACTGCTGGTTTGATAGGGAGGTGCAGACTGTCCTCTCGGAGGGGGTCCTGAAGACTTTAAGAACCAATGACTTAAGACTGTTGGAGATACGGTTCAATGGCAAAGATGCATTTACTTTTTATAAACTCCCAGATCCATTAAGTTCCCATTTTCCTCCATGTAATTAATTCTTATTCTTGTACATGTCTGCTCATTATAATTCCTTTCGATATTTCCTTTGTATGCTATATTGAGTATGGCAGCTTGGACTGCTGCACTTTTCTACGTAGAACTTTGGACAAAACCAACTCAGTGGTTACCAGGATAGTTGTTTATTTTAAGTTATCATTTGATTTATTGCGTTCACTTTTTTTTTTTTTAAATTTCTTAATAGACACTAAAAGCAGACTATTTAAAACAATATCGTATTCATTATGGATCAGCTCGTAATCCTTTTGGTGATAATGATGATTTATATTTCAAAAGTGAAGCAGAAGTTGACAACTTATTTGGCACAAGTTTAACTAAGGGGAAAAAAGGTTCATCTTTTATAACACCCTATGGTCCTTCACCATTTCCAACATCTGATATATCTGTTACATCAAATTCTACTATTGGTAGTGTAGAAAAGACTACAGGTGTTCCATCCACTTCTGTTATTTCATCAAGTAATGCACAATTAGGTCAACAATTTGGAACAAATACACTTAGTAGTCAACCTGGTAAGTTTGTTTGAATCCATACACAATCTATGACTGAGCTTTTGTCCAACATTGAAGCATATACAAACTATTATTACTTTAATGTTAGATTAACTTACCTTTGAAATTATCATAAACAGTAGTTTTTGTCGGTGTACTCATGAGAGCTTTGTTATTTGAAAGTATTCATTCAGTGATTAACAGCTCAGGGAGCTTTACTTTTCTGAATGATAAATACGTACGTATCCAGTGTATAACCGCGTTTAGTGGAAAAGCTTATTGGGAAGATCTAACTTTCTAAGCATATCTAATGAGGCTTTAGAGATATTCGAAGCTTCACTACTATATATAACTGTAAACAAATAAGACATTACCGTACTAAGGCATTCTAAAATGCTTTTAAATTCAGTTAATACTGTGTGGTTTTTCGATACTTTGAAGGAGACATTTTTAGATTTTCACTTTGTGAATTGAGTGAATAGTTATCAGTTCTTAGTTGTTGTTGTTTTTTCTTACCATTCCTTTTGGATAGTGGGTTTTTGTACGGATTTGGATCGTCACAAATCAATATGATTTAGAGGTCATTGAAAATCAAGTAGCTTTGGACAGCTACTTCACCCTAGTTTGGGACTCCTCAGTAGTAAGCATCCAATCCCAATAAAAACTCACCTGAATATATCAATCTTCAGCCCATTGATGGCTACTATATAAATGTCGTAAAACTCTTCTAATGCGAAGCCGTTGTCAGTAGGCTCCATCATTTCGAGTAGTACAAAGTGAATACTCATCGATCGTACTGATTAGTTCGGGCGTAACGTAGCAAAATAACAGAAGTTGGATTTGGATGAATGATCAACGAGCTTGATGTTATAACCTGAAGGTCCCACGATCCATCTGTAATGGGATGATGAGTGTGCGCTTAAATAGACAGTCCTGAACTAGCACAAAACAGCTGTCCACTTCTCCTTGGTTTTCATTGGTGTCTACCCGATGTTGGTTCATGATGAAATATTCAATTGAAATTATTCCTTCTCACTGGTGAAGAATCTTAAATCATTGTTGATTTGTATTATTGTGTAGTTCACAGTATATCTGAGAAAAAACATCTCATAATTATGTATAATACTCGTAGAACTAGTGATTTCAGTTGACATATTGGCTCCCCTTGTAGAGACGCTTCGACAATGTGTGAAGTGTAACATGAGGTTATTTTGGTTGGTGGTGATTACTCTAGCAGTAAAACCCGGGAATTGCATTCTGTCCTATTTAGGATTCGTAAGTTGGATGTACGTGCATCCCAGTGAATGATGGTGTTCCCACTGAGACTCAAACGCTGAACCTATTGTTCCAAACGCCAAAGCGGGAAATAGAAGTTCACTTTAATAGCAATAACAAATGATACTTGTTGTACAAGATGTGTCTCTTATGGATAACACTGTCATCTGAAACGGTGGGTGAAGGGTTTGAGTCTCAATAGAAACACCACAACTTACTGGGATGCAGGCAAGTGCAGCTGACGAGTTCCGAATAGGAGGGAATGTGCTAAGTCGAGTTTTATTGCAAAAAAGCTGAATACTAATTTAGCAGATAAAGCTGACTTTCATTTACTTTGAGTCTATGATACTCACAGAGATTTATTGGTTAAGAATTTAAGTAAACTTGTATTATGCATTTTTAGTCATGTGGAATGAATATATATATATATATAATATATCATGATCTCTTTATACTGCCAACCCACTAACTGATCTTCAAGTTTTGGTTTGCAGGGATTTGACTGATATCAAGTTTATCATGAACTGGCTTCAGTTATAAAGAACCATTGAAAACTAGCGGGGTCCACGAAGTTGGGTGTAAGGACAAATAATTGCTGATGGCATTGGCTGGCGGTCGATAAATAGCAGAAGTTACAATTCATGGACCCAGTGTTTGAGTGGTCAACAATCTCATTTTGTAACCTGAAGCTCCTGGGTTCAACCCCTGTTGGTAGAGTCATGAGTGAGTACTGATGAAAAGCCTCGACCAAGGATGGAACTGCTGTCCAATACTCCTTGTTTTTCACTGGTTCTCTATCTGAAGTCAGTTCTTGATCAAAAGTAAAATCATAAACTGATTGATGCTTGAACCAATTAACTTAGCTGTATGAATTTTACTTAATGAATGAGGAGTCCTAACGCGTACTTTATTGTCTAAAGCGGATAGTTTAACTCGTTGTGTAGTAATCCAAGTATGACGACCACAGTTACTAAACCACATCACATCTGTAACTGTTTTTTTTGTTAAATATTTTGATGTAATTGACGTCTCGCCCTATTTTTTTTTATTGTCATATTTTAGCATCGTCTTTTCTTGGACAATCTGGAGCCTTCAGTACTGCTACATCTAATGCAAATGTTACATCATCAACAGGTCTGATAAAGCCAACATTTGGATTCTCATCCACGACTACAAGTTTACCATTGTTTGGTCAAACTAGTGGTATAGGTTCACTAGGCGGTGGACTTACCAACACTATTGGTGGCGGAATAGGAGATAGTCTATTTGGAAAGAGACTAGCATCATAACGAAGGGGGTTAGAAACTGTATAAAATTTCTGTTGTACACTTTCTACTAATTTCAACTTCAGTATATTTGTGTATTACAATACTCATTGTATATAAGTTATTTTTTTTAATAAGAATTATTGCGTTGTGTAAAGTATAAAAGTGTTCTAACATCTTTTGCGTTGAATAATTCATTCCAGAAGCCCTAGACTAGTGAATTCTAATTGCTTTCAACAAACACGCAAGTGCATGTTACAAATCAATAGAAATAAGTTAAAAGTGCATAAGGATAAGAATTGCTGTACTTATCTGGTCAATCCGCTCCATCCTCCTTTATGGCTGTGAGACCTGGCCATTGAGAGCGGAAGACATGAAAAGATTAGCTGTCTTCGATCATAGGTGTCTGCGTTCTATCTCCCGCGTGAAGTGGTATAATAAAGTGAGCAATATTGAGGTTAGGCATCGGTCGAGAACTAGGTAAGAAGGGGAAATCAGTCGACGAGACTGTGAAATTACATCGACTGAGATGGTTAGGACATGTGTTACGTATGCCTAGTCATCGCCTTCCTCGAAGGGCAATGTTAGCTGAAATAGGGTCAAGCTGGAAAAGAGCTAGTGGCGGTCAAACGAAAACATGGCACCAGTCAATGAAATGTACAACAGTTAGTTTAAGCCAGCCACGTAGGAAGATGTAGACTTCCTGGTTGGGGTCCTCGGGACGGTAAAAACCAATGGTTGGAAACAATTGGCGGTATGGCTCAAAATCGTTCTCAGTGGCTGGCGCAGATGCATCCACTCCTTGTGACTTATGATTTTCAATTAAACTGTTTTGTTCTTCGTTATTACTATTCCTTAGTCTCAGACATCTGTTTACTGTCTCTATTATGCATTTCTTCTCTTGCTTTGTGTGCTACAAGGAGGGAGTGTGGCGACTTGAACTGCCGCACATATGTGCAAAGTTCTATGTCGAAAACAGACAGACAGACTTATCTGGTCAGTTATACGTAGAGGGTTTTTACTAGGTTGTTTTGTAGTTATGGAATATCAAGATCGTTTTCAGTGTACTGTGACAAATTTATGTTGTTTGTAGAGATAATATAGCAGCTGTGGGGGTGGATGGTGTTCTTCACAAGAGTGAAAGGACGAGTGCGAACGTTTTTGGCGCTCACATCCGAACTGATGGGCATGTAGTCTTGGGATCAATCTTCTGTCTTTTCCATGTTTATTACTGACTAACAAACTAGGTAGTGTTTAAGAAGTGTGTTCGGCGGCATTCGAACTTGGACCTTTTGTCAAGGCTGGCAGTCTTTACCATCTTCATATCGGTCGGTCGGTCGGTTTTCGACATAGAACTTTGCACATATGTGCGGCAGTTCAAGTCGCCACAATCTATGTAGCACGCAAAGCAAGAGAAGAAAGTAGAAGAAATGCATAATATAGACAGTAAACAGAGGTGTGAGACAAAGGAATAGTAATAACGGAGAACAAAAGTTTAATTGGAAATCATAAGTCACAAGGAGTGGATGCATCTGCGCCACTGAGAACGATTTTGAGCCATGTCACCAATTGTTTCCAACCATTGGTTTTTACCATCCCGAGGGCCCCAACCAGGAAGTCTACATCTTCCTACGTGGCTCAGATTAACTGTTGTGGATTTCATTGATTGGTGCCATGTTTTGGTTTGACCGCCGCTAGCTCTTTTCCAGCCTGACCCTATATCAGCTAACATTGCCCATTGTCGAGGAAGGCGATGACTAGGCATACGTAGCACATGTCCTAACCATCTCAGTCGAAGTAATTTCACAGTCTCGTCGATTGATTTCCCCGCCTTACCTAGCACTCGACGCCTAACCTCAATATTGCTCACCTTATTATACCACTTCACGCGGGAGATAGAACGCAGACACCTATGATCGAAGACAGCTAATCTTTTCATGTCTTCTGCTCTCAATGGCCAGGTCTCACAGCCATAAAGGAGGACGGAGCGGACTGTTGAGCAGTACACACGCCCTTTGATCGATAGTCGGATATCGCGTCTACGCCAGAGACGGCGAAAACTGGCGAATGCGAACCTAGCCCTCTGTATTCGTGCTGAAATTTCGTCGGAGATCAACCCGTTGGGGCTGATGGTACTTCCCAAGTAAGTGAAGCGGTCAACGTGTTCTACCACTTCACTTCCTATTTCTAATCTAGGGGTCGATGAAGTCCAATCCTGCAGCATCATCTTACATTTTATAGGGGCGAATCGCATGCCAAACATGCGGAGATTGTTGCTCAGGGTGTTCAGTAGACTCTGCATTTTGTCAGAGTCCTCGCCTAGAAGGACTATATCGTCCGCATATTCTAAGTCAACGAGATTCTTCCCTGGTAGCAAGTCAATCCCTGAGTCGCTGAAGTGAGTTAGGGTTAAGTCCATTAGTACATCTATGATGAAATTGAATAGGAATGGGGATAATGGGCATCCTTGACGGACGCCACTAGTCGTCACCACTTCAGATGACAACTCGCCATAAGCCCTCACCTGGCTGCATGAGTACGAGTAGAGTGCCTGAATCAGTGCAATGTAATTTATTGGCATTCCCTTTACAGCCAAGCATCGCCAGAGAACCTCCCGGTCGACAGAATCGAATGCCGCCTTTAGGTCAAGGAATATAATGATTGTCGGACGCCGGTAGGAATGCCTATGTTCTAGAATCTGTCGAAGGGTGAAGATGTGATCAATACACCCTCTACCTGGCCTAAAACCTGCCTGGTTTTCTCGTGTTTGTGTCTCCCGAGCACCACTTAATCTACGCAGTATTATTGAGCCTAGGATTTTAGATACTATATTAGTCAAGCTAATCCCTCTGTGATTATCACAAGACGACTTGTCCCCCTTCTTGTATATCGGGATGATCAGTGACTTACACCAACCCGATGGGACTTCCTCTGATTCCCAGACGCTGCCTAGAACCTCCGTTAACGCAGACAGTAAACTGTCGCCTCCGTACTTAAATACCTCTGGAGTCAATAAATCGGGTCCCGCTGCTTTGCCTAGCTTCAGATTGGTGACAGCTTTAGTAACCTCGGTTAAGGACGGAGGACCTGTGTCTATCTCCCATTCAGGGAGGTGTTGGATGTCCGGTAGGTTAAGTGTGGCTGTGGGCCAATTAAACTGCTCCTCATAGTGTTCTTTCCAGCGCTCCAGACGTCTATCCTGGGAGCTAATTAAGGTGCCATTTTTCTCGAAGATTGTTTCGCTTATCATTTGCCTTTTACCACCTGTTTCCCTGATAAGCCTGAATAGTTGTCTGGTGTTGCCTATCGCCGATGCTTTTTCCATCTCTTTCGCCTTTATCAACCACCACTGTTCACGGTCCTTGCGGAGACTTTTCGTAAGTTTCCTCTTGTGCAGCTTTCGCTCCTCATTGAATTCGGAGCTCGCCGGAATAAGTCTTCTAGCATCTATCAGTTCGGATGAGGCAGTCGAAATCCAGTGGTTTTTACTCACCTTTGGAATTACCTTATTCACAGCTTTTACAGCTGTATCTATGGCTGATTGAATATTCTTCCAGGCTTCTTCAGGGTGAGCGCAGCTGTCAAACTCAGATATGTGTTTAGCTAGTTCTTCCTCAAATAGGGACTTAGTTCCCTGGTCGAGCTGGGGACGTGATGGGTTTACCGCTCGCTGTTTCCTACGTCCGTTCAGTCGTAAGCACACACGAGCGCGGACCAGTGCGTGATCGGTATCTACACACGTGTTCCAGAAGGAGCGACAATCTCCTACCGACCCACGCCAACGATAGCTTATTGCTATGTGGTCTATTTGTGTCCAGCGTTGATTTGATGATGGGGGTCGCCAGGTCAGACAGTGTCTCTCCTTGTGTTTGAAGTTAGTGCTTACAAGATACAAATGATTATCTGAACAGAACTGTAGGAGACGGTCACCGTTGTCGGTTCGCTGGCACGGAATTCCGTATGTGCCACCAACATTCTTCTCAGATTGACACAATTTCCCTACTTGAGCATTAAAGTCACCAGCTAAAACGACTATATCTGAGCGTCTAGCCTTTCGCAGCAAACTAGACAGCTTTTGGTAGAACTCATCCTTCGTTTCATCCGAACTGCAGTCAGTGGGGGCGTAGGCGGAGATTACGAAAAGGCATCGGCGAGTAGTGCAGTCCTTTCTCCTTTTCACTGATCCGTTCAGGCGGACAGCGCACATTCGGCTATCTACCGGGATCCAGTCAAGTAATGTCTTTTCCGCTCTAGTACTTAAAGCTATCCCAACACCAGCTAATCCTCGTGAGCTAGCCGTCGCATCTCCTGACACCCTCAAGGTGAATTTTGCAGATTCATCCTGTTGGCCAGGTGGAGTTAGGTGAATAACCACACTTGGGTCTTGTATGCGTGTTTCTGAAACACAACATACATCAATGGCTCGGGATGCCAGAGTCTTGGCTAGAGATGCTTGTTGTCCTATTTGGTAGAGTGTCCTAACATTAAATGCTCCTATATAAAATTGGTGGCGTGGTTTTAGGAGACAATCGGTGGTGGCTTTTTGGCTTCCATCGTTATCAGTGCACACAGAGTGAAGGGGGAGTGAAGAGCCAACAAGTAGAGGAGTTGCATTGGTAGAAGGAAGGCAGGATAATAGAGATGAAGATGAAGACAAAGATGAGCGAGGATTAGAGGGGTTTCGCGTGCACTTCGGGTTGTGAGGGCGATTGGTACTTCCCGGCTGCCCACACCGTGGAAGTTGGTTGCGTGACCGCAGAGCCCAGGGGACAACTGCTTGAGGCCGGTCACACACGGCCTGTTTTTGTTTGTTCTTTTTTATTTGGTGTGTCTCAGTAGCGTATTTATCACTTCTGCCCTGTGACACGGCAGCAGAAAGCGCGGTCGTTGTTAATCCGGGCCCCGGCCGATCCGGCATGAAATTTTGTGATTTATTTGAAATCATAGGATTGGATTGGGTAACTGCTTTTAGTCTAACTGCTATCCAAACAACCTTTCTGGCATGGTAGGACCTGCAGGAACATAAGTTCCAGCCAGTATAGCTTGTTGGGTCATTGCAGTGTTCAAGCCCGACCACCACGTCAAGGTAGCAGCTTTCGGTCGGGCCATCTTCATATAAAGCTAAAAAGCCACTCTAATGATGATCTACTAAT